AGAGATGAGTGTTGCAAAGCTTTTCAGCACTTGCTTACCCATGTCTTTTTTTTTTTGTTTGTTAATTTGTAATCAGGATCAGTGGGGCTGTTTTTTGACCCGATTTACCCCTTCTGACAATTGCAGGGGCGTTCCCCGACTGGAAGCCATTTGGAGGCGATTAAGTGTGAGGGGTTTAGAAAATAATCTTATTGCCAATGATTGAGTGGGAGCCTCCCTGATCTCAACTTGTGAATTTCAAACTTATTGCATAGTTGCGATGATTGGCTGCGTTAGAAACCTGCAATTGGCAAAGAGAGTGAACTGACCAGGAAGCATCACCAACAAACTGTAGTACTAAGACAGCTGTGACTAAAAACAACAAGACATTTCCAACTCAGCCCCAGCAGCAAAATATATACGCAGATTCCGCCTATAGTTTTTTTTCTTCTATTTTAACAGACAACGTCGGTCCTCCTCCATGTTTGTCTGAAGTCACGTTAAATCGCGCAAGAGTTTTAGGGAGATCCCAAGTCTCTGGGATGGTCACTGAGAAATTGTTTCCACAAAGTGTGTGGTCTTGTGTTCAGGCCAAATCATGTGTGTGTTCTGACAATTATATTATTTAAGATCGGGTTAATATTGTCATTATGTCTGTGGTCTCTCACGTTTTTGAAAATCAGTTAAGAGTGGAAAATCCTCTTGTGTGTGGAAGGCCTTTACAAATTTTGGTTGAGGAATCAGGGCCTGAACTGGGGAGGAACCAATTAAATAATTTTTTTAATTAAGGGGCAGATCCTGAAATACTTTTTTTCCACTTTCTTTCATTATGAGGAAAAAAAGTGTTTTGACAGAACACCTTTTTTTTAAAAAATATTCCTCCCATTAAAATTAGATAATCATGTGTAGGTTAGTTGGGCCTTTGCGGAGATATATACTCTGAGGGCCATTCTACAAAGTATCCAGTTTGTTGGTTTTCGATTTGTCAAATTAAGCACAATGTGAGAAAAGAATCATTCACTCTGCTTATCTAGACATCACCATGATCTTCAAACCACTCCTTCAAAAACAACTATCCATGCTAATCACGCTTTACGTCGTAGTTTTGTTGTCTTTCAGTTCGTTAACCTACTCTGCTCGCCGGAAGATCTCAGCCTTTAATGTTCTGCTTCACCTTCCTGTCCAGCATCACAAATGCTGCCAGTTGATGTTTGTCCCACTGCTTTAGCAGTGTCCCGCAGAGACAACTCAGGGCAGAAAACACATCCTATTAAACACTGTTGAGTGCACAATGACCTTATGAGGACAGCAGTGCTTTGATTCTCCTCCGAGGGATTTAGTTTTTGGTCAGCACACAAACCACATATTAACCTTTTGTATTCTTTTAAACATGTGCACACAAGAAACCAAACAAAGTACACCCTACACACCAACCCACAGGGAACAAAAATAGTGGTCCTGACAGGTGGCACCAATTCTGTAGGGTTAGAATGAGGGCTAGGAAATAAAATATGTCTGTGTGTCTACCACAGGCACAGTGAAACAAGTTTGTATATTTGAGTGTGTGACTGCGTGCTCGTCACAGGTTTTCTCACTCACCCTGTCTTGCCACCATCTGTCCTGGGGACTGGCATCAATGACTGTACAGACGGGCACTGACTAATAAGCTCAAACAGGCAGCAGTGAAAGAAGCCACATGAGGACATCCTCTGACATGCTCGCCATCATCATTACTCGGCGAGTGCAAATAAGGGCAGCGACAATTGGAGACGCTAAGTTGTGTGAAGACTTGCCAGGAACCACACAAACCACAGACGGTGTCGATGTCTGCGAAACAGAAATGAATCGTTGTTTTGCAAAGTCTATGTATAATATTTAAAAATGCACTACCGGTCAAAAGACAGTTGCAGTCTTTAAGTTGAGTGATATGTAGGTCAGTCCAGAGAAAACATTTTTTTCTCTAATGAAATTAAACAACATATCATTCATTCATGCTCACTGTCTTTGATACAATTTCTCCAAGAAGAAAATCTTAAATTAAAAAACACTTTTCCCAGATTTATAGGAAGATGCAAAAGTCTTTCAGCCTGGATGCAGTAATGTTATGAAGTAAAGTTGACAAGAGTAAATAAATGACACTGATGTAAACCACCAGAAACTAGGCCAAGCCAAAATCATCCCTCTGCAGCCGGAGCACCAGCAGTTTAAGACTGACAGCTATTGTCCAACCAGTGCCACCTATAGGCCTTCTTCACAGCATACATTTTGACCTGTCGTGACAGGAAAGGTGTCACTAATAACAAGACACTGTTTGCATCAAGTGTCCCAGTGAGTCCTGAGGTGTGACAGTGACTCAGCAGAACTATAACAGGATCCTGAAACAGAATCCAGCCATCACTCATGTCGAATTGAAGCCTGTGGCTTGTCTACGGTGATATGTCACAAAGTAACTGCAGCTTCAGATGTGGACACAGATGTTGTGCCACCACAAGGTAACATTTGTGCTGCACTGAGGTCAGGCGGAGCAGGAAGCTGATTTATTGCTTCTGCTATTTGAGCATGGGGTCTTTTGTGCAGTCGGGGGTTTAATTCACCCCCAAACAGCCAGTGTGCCGGCTGTGCTGACATTAGCCGTAGCTAACTAGCAATGTGTGCACCAACTGTGTGTGTGCTTGTGTTCAGCTCAGACAGACTGATCTCAGAACTAACTCAATTCTGTCTGTTATTTCCCTCCAGAGTCGCCTTCTTTCCTTTGCCTCTGTATGTTTATGAAATAAATTTATGAAGATCCAAGAGGAGAACAAAGTTACGAAACCATTTCAAATCACAGGATGTTTTAGCCTCTCTTCACACCACTTAGAGCAAATTTGCTTCTATTAGTGCCCACTTGTGACTTTCCTGTCTGTAAACACCCCACATCTTGAGTTAGCTTTGTGAAGTACACTTTTTGTCAGAGCATTTTCTCCGACATGTTTGCAGCATCCTTTGTGGCCATTTACTAAAAAAGCTGTTTTGTTGCAATTAAATTGTTAACAAGATGAGATGGTGTCGTCTGTAATATACCTACAACGGATCAGGTGTCTTTTTTTTTTAGATTTGTCTCAGGCTGGTGCTTTTTTCCTGACGGACAGATATAAACTCCTCCAATGTTTATTTTTGTAACTTTATCATGAACCCTACAGCTACTGTACAGACATCGCAGTGCCAACACAGTGACTAAATGTATCGTGTGTCAGTATCAGTAACACCTTGTACTTCTCTCAGGATAGGATCTATTTGGCAACGCTTACAGATTCCAAATTCCTTCACTCAATTTAGAAATACCTCACAAGGGCAGTTGTATAGAAATTTGTTTAGCTTAACGGCTAGTCATTTGGTTTAGCTTGTCGTAGCCCTTAGCGGTCGTACTAGCTGCTCTGACGGTGAAAGGAAAAGTCCTGAGGTGTAACTCGGAAAAGTCTCTCGAGTGACTGGCAAGATAAAACAGATTGTTATAACATGTTAGTCCACCCCTCATTGGCCCGCCAGTTGCTGAGATACGAACAGCCCACAGGGCAGGCAAAAGCAGTTCATTCAAGTTGAGCATGAACACTAGTGCTCTTTGATTTAGATGGGGTCGTGGAAGGTGAAGCAGAGGATGGGAAAGAGGTAGATTTTTATCCTCTTTTCTATTCAGCGGCAAGGAGAGAGATATCAGTGACTTGAAAGAGAAAGAGCCAGCATTGAAACTTATCATAAATCTGTTTTCTGGGTTAGTGTTTATGATATTCCATCAGTTGTGGTCTCTGGAACCCTGCCATCTCAATAAGTAAGCAGCAGAAAA